TTTTAATATTATATATTGTCAAAAGAAAAATCGAGATAATATAAAATGTCGAGTAGTGTCTTACGTGCAGTAGTCGTTTAAATGTTCTGGAAATCTTACTCTTCTTCCAGAACGCGTCGTTTTAGGTTTATTTTCAGATACATTCGGAGTATCATCGCTAGTGTTGGTTGTCGGTTGAGGAATTATGAGTGTAGGAGTCGTGTTGTGCGATTGTACCGAAGGAAAGTCGACGTGAATAGGATTTCCTTCTAAATACGCTGCTTTTAAGCGATCGATGCTGATGCTATCGTTTGTTCCGTTCTTATCGACTATATAGTACTTAGATTCACGTTGAAGAACTTTGAAAGGTCCTTCGTATGCTGATTCGAATGGTCGTCGATGCGAGTCTCGACGAACGAAAACGTGTGTACTATATCGTAAGTCAGGTTGAACGAAAACATCAGTTGATTGAGGTCGAGTGGAAGCAGGTTTAACTGAACGCATTGCGTTTGTAAGCCTGTTCGTGTAGGAGGTTAGATCCATGTTCATTGAAGAGGACGAAGGATCCACGAATTCTCCTGGAAGTCGAAGTGTCGTTCCATAAACGAGTTGAGCCGCAGTGTATCCAATGTCAGCTTTCACTGCATTGCGGATACCTAGTAAGACGAGTGGAAGAGCGTCGGTCCACTGTGAAACGTTTGCAGCTGATAGTGAAGCTTTTAGTTGTCGGTGAAAACGTTCTACCAACCCGTTTGCTTGTGGGTGGTAGGCGGTCGTTCGGAAGCGAGTGATTCCTAAAAGTGTGGTCAGACGACGGAAAAGATCAGATTCAAACTGACGTCCGCGGTCTGTAGTGATGGTTGAAGGGCAGCCGAAGTTTGCTACCCATCGTTCGACGAAGGTGCGGGCCACTGTTTCAGCAGTGATGTCCTTGATAGGTACTGCTTCTGGCCATCGAGTGAAACGGTCTACGCAGGTTAAGAGATAAGAGTATCCATTTGAATCTGGTAAAGGTCCTACCAAATCCAGATGAACATGGTCGAAACGAGCATCGGGAGTTTTAAACGAGCCTAAGGGACATTTATTGTGTCTGATAACCTTAGATTTTTGGCAGCTTACACAGGAGCGTGCCCACTCCCTCACGTCTTTATTCATGCCAGGCCAGCAAAATCGTTCTGCTATAAGCTTGATGGTTGCACGAACACCTGGATGAGAAAGTTTGTGCAATGTATTGAAGACATTGCGTCGATAATGTTTCGGCACGATTGGGCGATCCCTACCTGTAGATGTGTCACAAAGTAAGGTTTCCTTACCTGTTCCCATCTGTTTGATGCGTAGTTTAAGTGTTGTGGACGATAACTCGTGCTGAAGATCAGTGTCTTCTTTTTGAAGCTCGGCGAGTTTAAGAAGGTCGATTCCTTGGAAACTGTTCAAGGAAGTTATGCGAGATAAGGCGTCTGCAACTACATTGTTTGCTCCAGAGATGTGTTGAATATCTGAAGTAAACTGCGAAATGTAGTCCAGTTGTCGAGACTCACGGGGAGAGTACTTGTCAGAAGGAGAGCTTAACGAGAAAGTGAGCGGTTTATGGTCCGTGAAAAGAGTGAATTCACGGCCTTCGATATAGTGTTGGAAATGCCGTACAGCACAATACATAGCTAGGAGTTCCCTACCGAATGTGCTGTACCTCGATTCGGTGTCTAGCAACCTTCTAGAGAAAAATGCCAAGGGTTGCCAGGAGTTGTTAACCCATTGTTGTAAGACTCCTCCGATTGCCGAGTCGGATGCGTCTACTGCGATACTAATGGGTGCTCGGTGTCCTGATGTGCGAGCATTGTTGCTTTAGCGATCAGTTCCTTAACTGTGGAGAATGCTTTTCGTGCGGTGTCGTCCAAATTAATGGATTTCGCATTTCCACGAAGTTGGTCGGTCAGAGGTTTCATAAGTAATGCGCATTTCGGTATGAAACGTCTATAGAAACTTACCAGGCCGTTAAACGTGCGTAATTGCTTGACGGTGGTCGGTTCTGGGTAATCCAGAATGGCCGCCACTTTGGTTCTAAGGGGTCGGATACCTTGAGCATCGATAGTGTGTCCCAGAAAGTCTAATGAGTCGGTTCCGAATTGGCATTTCTGAACGTTTACAGTTATGCCATGTTTTTGTAATCGTTCGAAAACAAGATCCAGATGCTTGAGATGTGTTTCTCTGTCCGGACTTGCGATTAGACAGTCGTCAACATACGCGTGTACGAAGTTGAGACCTCGAAAAACGTCGTCTATGAATCTTTGGAATGTTTGAGCAGCGTTCCTTAGACCGAAAGGCATTCGCAAAAATTCATAGAGTCCGAAGGGAGTTATGATAGCTGTTTTCGGTATGTCGTCAGTAGCCATAGGGATTTGGTTATACGCTTTAACCAAGTCGATTTTCGAAAAGACAGTTGTACCTTTCAAGGTAGCTGTCAAATCGTGAATGTGAGGCAACGGGTAACGATCGGGAATGGTTTTCGCGTTCAATCGCCGATAGTCACCAGTTGGACGCCAATCGTTGCTGTCCTTTTTAGGGACCATGTGCAACGGAGATGCATATGGGCTACTTGACGGTCGTATGATTCCTAAGTCCATCATGTGATCGAATTCGTTTTTCGCTAACCTTAGCTTTTCAGGAGCTAGTCGTCGTGCTTTAGAGAATACAGGTGGTCCTGTAGTCGTGATGTGATGTGTAACATTGCTGGTTACACACGGTAGTTTCGGTTGAGTTTGTTGTATCCCAGGGTACTTATCGAGTAGTGGTTGATAGAGTGGGTCTATCATATGCTTAACTGTGACTGGGGATACTCTACAACCAGTAAAAGAAGTTACGCAAACGGACAAATTAGTGTTTCCGTCTACTAGCCTCCGTTTGCGAGTGTCGATGATCAGATTGTGGTGTTGTAGAAGGTCCATACCAATGATTGGCATAGAAACATCTGCAACGACGAAAATCCAGTGGATGGGTTTGCGTAAACCCACGTTAAGGTAAACGTACCTTTTGCCATACGTAGCGATCGGTTTTCCGTTTGCCGCCTGTAAGTTTAGGGTCGATTCGTGAAGTCGGTCGTTAGGATTTGCTGGGAGAACGCTAACTTCTGCGCCAGTGTCGACGAGGTAGCGAACTCTCGTTGTCACATCTGTGACGAATAACAGACGGCTTTGTTCGCCGGCTACGGTTGCCGTTAACGCGTGCCGGCTTGGAAGTTTCCCGAATTGTTTTTCGAATCAGTCGGTTTCGTGTTGGGAAAATTGCAGGGTTTTCTGCAATTTCTGGAAAACTTTCCATACTGGTTATGATACCAGCACCAGTCGGGGTTATCTGTCTCTCGTGGTCTAGAGACAGATCGCTTACGAGAAATGCTTCTACGTGGTGTGCGCGATCTCTTACGGTCGGTACGAAGACTAAGATAACGCGTGAGTGTGTGACATAAGTCGGTTATATCATTCTGAGTCGTGTGAGGCTTTTCTTTGACTGAAAATACCTCGGTAGTAGGTTTCGTAATTTCTAGAATGCGGTCGGCAGATGCAGCTAGCTCGTCTAAGGCGTTGTTCTGGAACGAGACCAGAACTGCTTGCACCTGTTGGGGAAGTTTTGACAAGAAGAGTTGTTTGAATAGACCTTCGTCGAAAGTTCTTGGGCCTATAACCTCTCTCATCCGTTGCAACATGTCTGTCGCAGAACCGTGTTGCAGGTCGATGTTATTGAAGAGTTGATCTAACCTTTGTCGATCGGTTAGGTCTCCTCGTTTAAGAATCGAGCGTTTTAAGATTTCGTAAGGATCGGAAACATCACTAGTAAACATACTAGGTGTTACGTACCTGTTGAATTCGCGCGGTAGTGCCTTGACTACTGCGAGGAATTGTGCACGTGTGTCGATCACGCCGTGCTCGGGAAGTCGGCTTCTGCGTAGCAAAACCAGGCTTCGATGTTGTCGGGCCAGAAAGGCATCAGTTGAAACGAAGGTGGGGACAAGGTCTTAAGCTTGAGTACTTTAGGTGTCTGTTCAGTCATGATGAAATATGAAGTACGATAATGAACGAGGGGAAAAATATATATATCCAAGAAAAAAATACGAAAAAAATCACAATGTTTATAAAAAATAAAAAATAAGGCAATGATATATAAAAATCCCAAAAAGGAACAGACTCACAGTTGCAATAAGGTGTACCAGATCACGACGGTCTCACCAATGATGATGTCACAGGTATTCAGTGTTTGACAACGCTTCTACCAGTAACACCTTCTAATATATTTCGTTCCCACCAAGAGAAATCAAAAGACAGAGTCGAGGAGATCGGAAGAGTATATTTGGCGATGACCAATATATCGGAATTCTCTGATCTAATCTGGCTAGCGATTGCGGTTGATGTTGAGCACGGCGTTACCACACGTGATCTGGTGCGGATGCCTGACCGAGCGCCTTCAGCTAGATGAGTCCACTAAAACATATGGTCAGCATCCAATGTCGAAAACTTAGTGCTATTTATTTTGGGGATTTATTTACCGTTACATAACCATTCCTGACCGTTTCATTTTGCTGTCCTAGAGATATTTCGACAGAAGATACACGGATATCAGTGTTTGCAAACTCTGTTCTACTCAAATATTATCCACATGAGATTTGGTAGAATCGCTTTTTAGGAAGAGGCTACTCGCCTTAACAAAGAAGAGTGGTGTGTGACGAATGGCGTGTACCTGTCTAAACCAAAACCCTAATTTTGTGTACCTCTTGATTTTCGAAACACAAATGCAGCCACATCAGTTGAAAAAACACATAGGAGCTCCGAAAAGGTCTGAAGATGTCTGTGGTTTATGCCACTTATCTTTTACGGTATTGGATACTGGATTTCGCTAAGGCGGAACGTTTGACAGTTTACGTCTCGTCGGGATTTCAATAAGTTTGGTAAGATTTTTCCGGAATAAATGACGTAGTTAATCGATAATTCTGATTACGCCATGGCGGAAAAATATGACTTCCAATGGACCCCATTGCTACAGGATAAAGACAAAACTCTTGCATGCTGTCTAGCATTTTGGCGTAATAACTGATGTCACCCGATCTCCCTGTTTTGGGGTTTTGTGCTATTTCCCTAAGCTTTTCTGTACCGGCTTCCAGAAAATAGATCAAACTTTCCTTGAAATTGGGAGATTGGATAGTTCATGACAAGAACTTATTTTGATTCCTAACTCCAAACTCTAATCTTTATCCCCCGGGGGATAGTATGGCCATACTAACTAATAGTCCTATTTTGGCGCTAGTTAGTGTGTAAGTTGTCTGAAGATGACATAAAGATCCCCTAATGACCGTCCATTATAGTCTCAACTTTCAAGCTTTTCTGTCTAGGCAGCATATACGACTTTTACGTGGTACTATATGTAAACTCTTTACAAGCTCTAGTGCGGTGGGATACAGACTCGTAAGGCGTGACTATAATTTACGGACAAACCGATAAAATATAAGATAACATGTCTCGGCTTTTCATTCTTCAGTAATAAGGATAGGAGGTCTATCGACCTACGTTAATCCTTGCAGTTTGTAACACGAGGTCTAATCACTTTTTGAATATATATCAACAGAAGATGCTAATCTTACGTGTTCTGTTAAAGAATTCTAGTAATTCACTAGTCGGCGTGAGAAACGAAACTCCAGACGTAGACGATTGGGTCTCGGTTTTTGAACCTTCTTCGAACGTGCTCAAGTGACCAGTCCTAGACGGGAGGACAAGATAAGACATATTGGCGAGCCTGATTTATGGACGACCTTCGAACAAATCTTAAGTGACCTTGAAAAATATTAGCCAATCGGTAAACAGCTAGTATAGAGTCAGTCGTGTGCTGTTACGGGTATGAGGGCTGATGTCACTTCCCGGCTGCCCACACTGTGGAAGGGTATTTCTTGAGGAACCTGAAAAAGAAATTGGATTAGTGTTGGTCCTGACGACCTGAAAGCGTGACCGCAGAGCCCAAGGGACAACTGCTTTAGGCCGGTCGCGCACGGCCTTTTTGTGGAAGGTTTTTGACGTGTTAGCTCCGTTCTTCAAAAGGCCTTACCGCCGGAGACGGAAATCCGTGAGGTAAGGTGAGGTGTGACATTTTTAGGGTCGACCTTTTCTAACCCCACCCCTCCTTGTGGGAAGGCAGCATCGCTGTCATGCTGGTTGTCCGAGGGAAACACCTTACTGCTGTCACACTTCTCTACAGTCAGCAGTACGACTTCGCCCTCAGACCTTGAGTTGCTGCTTTTAGTCTTACCGTTCACCAATCGACCTGCCTGGTATGATAGAACCTACAGGAACATATGTTCCAGCCAATATAGCTCGGTTGGGTCATCACGATAGGCAAGCCCGACCACCGCGTCAAGGTAGCAGCTTCGGTCGGGCTAGTATAGAGTAAAAATATATTGTACAAAACCATGGAAATAAAGTGGATGCACTTCTTATACGCGGTCCAAAAACTTGTCAAGGTTAAAAAGACGTTCTAAAATCGTAATGCATGCAATAGAGGAAATCATCCATACAGCTACAGAATAGTCGGCATCTGGAGCCATGATAAAGTCTCGAAAACTCTTTCAGCCTCGAACACAGTTTCAATCTTGTTTATGTGCACTCCGGTTGTTGAGCGCAAAAAATGGCACTTGTAGATAACGACACGATGCAAGTAACCAAGCTTATGGAGGAGTCTATACGCTCTCAAAACATCCGTATATATTGTAGTACCTAGATGCAGCCAATGTTACTGGTGCCTTTATTATCCAGTTCGCGATAATTATCAAAGTTTGCCATAGTTAGGAATTATATACGGGGTCACCATCACGAACTGATATCAGCTATAATGCCATAAATGTATCTGGCTAAGTGGATGAAAGGCTTTCGCGTTAAAATCCGAGATCTATTATCTTATTACCTGATTGATTCGTCCACAAATTATAGTCCCGCTGTTTTATTTGTTATAGCCGCTTAATTATCACGTTTTGTACAAAATTCCTTGTGAACCGATAGTACGTTAGTATTAAGCACTGAAGTTGGCGCCGTAACCTTTGAATCTCTAAAACGCCTCTGATTGGCTCGTCCATAAATTAGTCTCATCAACATATTGATACCAAGGTCATCGTTCAGTATACGATAAGCCAATATTTTATCACCCCGTATTCTGCGGTAAGACAACGGAAATAAGTTGAGGTTTCTCAGTCTATCTTCATAAGATAGGTCAGAGAAACCTTTTACTATTTTAGTCCCTCGCCATTGAACTCGTTCCAACATATCCGCCTCATACTTGAAACAAGAACTTGCTGCTTAAATCCCATATTCCAAATGCGGTCGCATGAAAGTCGGGTATAGTAATCTAAACATTCCAAATACTGTAAAGGCGCGAAATTCATTCATCCATTTGGTTAAAGAGCGTTTTGGGATTTTATCTATTGTCAGTTCTTGATGAAAACTTTGAATATAACTCCTAACCATCAACTGTAAGCCATAATCCTTATTCTTCACATAGGCTTATAACTCTCATTTAGCCCTAGCAAGTAGGTGGACATCTCCAAAGCCACTTTAACGTCACTCAAAGGTTGCCTATAAACTATGGTCTCACTACGCGTGGTTCCTAGAGTTCATATTTGCTGAACACAATGGCTTTTTATAACTAGTACACATAATCTTAGTATAAAAGAGCCAAGCATTTTCCCGAAATAAGTTGAAAGTCCTCATTTAGTAACTATCATACTCGTTGTAAATGGTTTCGAGCATCTAATAATAGGGCAATCAGGAAATTGTAAATTTACGCTTCTCGGTTCTATTAGTTTTTTGTTCGTCAGTTTGTCTGGCTTGCACTATAAGTGGTGTTTTAAACCACAAAAAAAGTTTCACCAAGCTCATTTCAAAGTCAATCTTTATGATAATAATAATCGTGTCAGATGTGAAATATCACTTTATTCCGCCTACATTTGCTCCTAATTGTTGTTTAAGAGTTACAGTATTGCTCATCCCCCAATATGTCCGTGGTCTATGATCATCAATTTTAATCTCATTTTAATCCATTTCGACTAACTCCCAAGGGTAAATATATTTACTCATCCTAAAACGAAATTCCTCGCGCTAAATGATTAGTAAAATATGATGTAAAGCCTCACAATCTATCTAATGAGAATAAAGAATTAAACTCTGGAAATTACAAATAACAAGTTAAATGGCTGATAACTACGACTAGAAAATCGTGTTGATCACTCCCAATGCCAGATATATATGAAGTAAGACAAGTTATAACATTTGATAATGCATACTTGTTGTACGACTGCAAAACTGATTGATTAAGGTAAACCGTTTAGACAGTATACAAAATAAGTAAATGTACGTTTAACGCGTTACTAGTAATAAGCTATGCATACATTGCTTACAAACATTTTGTTAAAGTAATTAGTAACAGTTAACATGCATCGATATAGTTTTCAAAGTTTCATTTAGGCTTAACCTCGGTTGTCTGTACAAGCATAACAACTTAGTGAGATTTTAAACTCATGGTCCAGATTAGGTTAAGTTTTTGTTTGAAAAATGTGTATGTGAAGCAGTCAAGCTTTAGTTTTTCACTTATGAATGCATCGATCGACTACCAATTTACTGGCACGTGTTAAAATAAATCTATTAACAACATTTTGTATCTGGATTAACAAAATAGAAATAAAAATCTAAGTCAAATAATTTCGTCTATCAAATCAAAACGAGGTATAGTATTTATTGGTTGACAGGTTCAATGTTGACATATTCAATTACGAGACTAGATAATTGGAGTTGGGATATACAACCCAAGGTTTCGAGGTCGTAGGTTTACTTTACCAACAAGCTTAAAAAGAATACACATGAAATTTGTTAGTAAGTCCTCACTACCCAACCAATAAACCAACCAACGTATACTACTAATTCGCAAAAATTAAAGTATTGGGATTCACAGGCATAAAAACTAATAAGTATTCGCTTGATTATGGTTTTTAACTTTAGAATTTTGTATAGCTTTGAAGATCTTATGCCTCTTTGATTAACTCAAACATTTTTTGATATTTCAGCACGTTTAATTCATAAGATGCCGTCTAAAATTTCAAAGTGGTTATCTTCCTACAAACCATCATCTCGTGAGGCGATGGATGAATTTATCACATGGATGTATTCAAGTAACAAGCTAGTTGATGATATAGAAGAGACATTTGAAAAACTAGTCTCTTCCAGTACTATTTCTGATGTCTGTCAAAGATTATTTGTATTTTATAAATCAGGTTTACCGGCCTTACAAAATTTTGTTGTTCTTCTTTTACCTTCATTATTGCATTCATATTTATGTCATTCTTATGAAGATAATAGCTCATCATCTCAGACAAGAAAAATTGTTTCAAATATATCAGATTCATCCCAGTCATCATTTTTAATCAGTTTGAGTTTGTTAGAATCATGTTTGCTGAGCATATGCAATTATTATCTTGTGAAAGCTGACCCTTTAAAAGGTAAATTTGAAAGCTTTATAAGTGATATTAACAACTTTCGTCTACCATCGTTAACCACACCGTCTGTTTTTCATAATCCTGTTTCTATTAAGGAAACAATCGAAAGAAATGATGCCAATGTTAAAACTGAAAGTGAGAATTTGAATCCTCTTAGAGTGTCTGCGATTATATGCTTAGTTCAAAATTATATTGAGATATTATCTACTCTTGATCTGCAAAATCCTATTATATCTGTGCTAATATTTCACTCATTGTCAAGATTTTCAAAGTTTTCAGATCGTGTTGTTAGCATATCAAAACGTCCTCGTATTCCAACTTCATCTGGTTTATTAATGATATTATTGGATTGTTCAGATCTTATTTTATTTAAACTCGATTGCTTTGATAAATACTCTGGAAGTAATAATCGTCTTGCTGACTCAATCCGATCCTCTATATTGGACAGTATTATAGAAATTAGTAATCGTGCTACGCATCATTGTTTTTCTTCTTGTCTTTTAGTATGTCAGTCTTTATTACACTATCGCAGTATTTATTACGATTATTGTGATCAAAAACCTAGGATGGAAGATGGATATATTCGGGATATTGAAAATACCCCTACTTCTCGAAATGGACTTACTAATTCTACTCACATTCCACCTGTGATCTCTATAAACTCTGTAGAGGATAAAACTCCACGTACTGAGTATACTCCACGACCAAAACTTAGCTCTACAAATGCTGAAGTATTTACAAGTGCTTCATTTAAACCAGAAATTGTATCTGAAGATATAACTCCAGTCAGTGAGAATTCTCGATCGTCCAGACCAGACAAAATGACAGGCCCAGAGGAGAATGTTAATAATGGGGCTAGTGCAAGTAATAATACCAATAAGATGCATTCCAGTGAAGTACATGAAAGAAAACACAATAAGTTAAAAATTGGTGTTGATTTCCGAATCAAATCAAATGATCATAGAAAGCATACTTTGGAGAAACTATCTGCACATCATGTAAAAAGTAATAACACTGAGAAGTAGTTCAGTATGTATCATATAAACTTAATTTTGTTCCTTGTCTTTCATTAGCATTATCATTGCTCATTATCGTCAATATCTTTTACTAAAACACTATCGTTGGTTTATGATCAGTTGACAAATGAGGTGTTGTTCATGACTTGCATTTTCTCGCACCTGTGTTACTCCTTTTATTTATTTTCGTAACTTTTTATTTTTTACATTCTCATACAGTCTTTACAATGAGACCTCTGTGTATAGATCTTAACTTTTTCTATCAAACTACCTAATTATAAATAGCGTACTTTCAGTTGAAAATTATTGTATATCTTATGTAATGTCTTATTTTCTTTATTCTACCAGTTATACATGCTCAGTTGTTTTAAAAGAAACACTGGTTTAGTAAGTTGAAACTTTCGTAGGTGTTAATGTAATTTAATCTTCTAGATTTCATCAAGTTTTGTTTCGTCAAATAGGTTTGTTTATTTTGAATGTACAGTCTTTCTTCAATCTCATCGATGGCTTACGGAAAGCTGTGTGGTTTTGTACTAAGTAGACAGCTGACAAATATCGAGAAGTACTAGGATAGCAAAGTTGAAGAACGAATAGATAAATAGGTAATGAAGTGTGAAGAGTGATAAAAAGGGGATAGATTTGTACCATTACCACGTACTTTGAATCATAATCAGCACTCTCTGAAATCTCTTGTACCGTATTTAGATAGCATATATTTCCTCATGCTATACAGCCCAATATCTAGTAAATCAACCAAATGATCCTGTATATTCGTCTAAACATCTTTTCAACAGCTAAATCCTATTATTAATAATGTATCAAGTTGTGATATGTCGTAGTTAAGCATCTATTCACTAGACACTTAGGTTAATTTGATTGAACAGCTCACTAAAATGCACGTTCGTGAAGTGCTAAAGTGACGACTTGTGTTTTGAGTTCACCAAACGTTTAATGAAATATGTGCGTATTTGCTTTTAATCTTTATGTTGATATTGAGTAGCAAGCACTCAAATTTTAAAGGCATTTGGTGTTAGAGACAATGTTTGTGATATATTAAATTCCTAAAATCTAAAGTGTTGTGAACTATAATTTTAAGATTTAATGAACATTAGCCGCTTTCATATTTTGTCAGTTTGATTTATCATCTTCCTAAACGACCTACCTGAGCACACCTGATTCACAGTTAATTAGACTGCAAGCAGAAAATCTGTGCTTTGGATTTTCTTAAGCTTAGTTATTGGGCGTCGGATGAAATCATAGTGATCTGTACCTGGTCTTCGACATACGGAGAAATGTATTCACATAGCTAAAGTCACCTCTTCCATTTAGACTATTACCAAGTGTTGATTGACTACGTCACTGAAACTTATGATAATTATTACTACAGTGGCCTTGTGTCTGTTATTTCAGCTGTTTATAGAATGACTTGGAATTTTATTGGGCTTTTTGGTGTTAATTTCTGTAAATGAGACAGTTTTTAATAGATAATCATGTATTCTTGCTTCATCGCAACCATGAGGTGTCAGCAGTCAGCTTTCAAGCTCAGATACTTGTAAGAATTTCACTGATATATTACACTAATAAAAACTGCCAAGTCTAAAAAAGGGTAAATGTTTCAAAATTGTGGTTACTTGTCAATTTAAATTGCTTTCATTCAAGTAGGTTAAAAAGAATCGCTGAAATATTGTTGTAATGGGTTTTGGAGCAACGCGTTAGCATAGGCAGAAAAAGCCTATTGTGGGTTAATAAGTCAGGAACAACATGGAAGAATAAGTAGTCGTAAGATTTTAATAAATATGGGTTAGGTAGTAGAAAAATCTTTGCTAAAGTTATCCCAGACGTAAGCCGTTATAGTCTGCAGGTATGACAGTGTGATAAATTGTGAATCTATTGGTAAACTTATTGATTCCAAGGTATGTATTCCATCATCTGATTGTGAATTACAGACCATTCTGCAGAATAATTTTAATATTTTGGTGATAGTGATAATCTGTATAAATACTACTAGATACAAATGTCTCTGTATCATATAAACAATTACATCATGTCAGATATAATTACGGTCACCACCTGGATTTTTTCGGTCAACAATCGGGTTTCGTAAAAGAGTTATCATTGTTGATATCATGCTTCCTTAAATGACGTATATTAGGATTATTTCAGTCAGTCGTCATCAACGTAGAACCTAACACTTTTAGAAACCCCATTGTATAAATGTGTTTATGATAGTTGCCAATCATTTCCTAGGTAACTTGTAAATAAGACAGTATCTGATTTATTCAAATCCTGGATAACATAGGTTCACAACAAATTCTTAAAACTTTAGAGGGAGTTTACTATTTTTCAGATCATATAAATACCAATTATGTAAGCAACACCTATTCTTTGACATTAGATATATCTCTGCTAGTAGTGATATTCAGTTGTTTGTTCAGAATTACTAAACGTATAAGATAATCTACTGTAATTATAGCGGAATAGTATCTTTTTTACAGGTAAACAATAACCAACATGTTTATGGTAGCATGTACATGTTCGTATAAAAAAGTAACCAAATGGTATTACATTTCCGACTGTCTTTACATACTTTTCACATGGCTCCTTTGAAAAGCCATTCTTTAATGAGTTGCTAAAAAGAGACATTAATTTGGCCTTTAGGCTATAGACTTTACGTTACTAGATACCCATCAGTAGTCTTCCATAAGAACCTGAATATCGGCCAGTCACGAAAATCAAAAGTCAACATACTTCAGTTTTTTAGAACATGTGGTTTAATCTCTCGTATGGTGTTTGATTTCTGAAATTAGTGTGCCTCATAGGCGATGTCGCTTAATGATGCCTGAAGTGAATTCATACTTCAGTGCACTAAGCTAATTGTATGTATTCCGACTTCAGTTCGATGAACCAGAAAGTTCAAGTTTCATGCAATTGGTTCCTTTTATGAATTTAAATAAAGCCAGAACAAACATGGACGCAGAATGGTATGAATTCATTATATTTCGTGGTTTCTCATCAGCTGCTTACAACCATATATGTGTAGTGACTTACTTTTATCACGAGAACGTGATTGGTATAATGGAAACAATCATAAAGCTTAACTTTTGTGTATCGTATCACAAATACATGAGATATGAGCATTTGAGTAACAATATAATTATTAATCATGTAAATAAATGTGATACTAGTCCCGACTCAATTCTCTCAATAATTCGATTTAAATGGGAATTAAACACTTAAAAACCCAATTTTTTTAAATATGGAGCATACTATAAGCTGTGGCGGGTAGTTAAAGTTACCTTTGCCATTCGGTAGATAACTTCAGTTTTAGTATGTTACTTCATAAACAGTAATGACGATCGAACTAGTAAGTAGTTGTCAATTTTATGTTATTAACCTTGAATAATTTTGTCGAATACATGTTCCTTGCGACGTTACGTCACTATCCTATTTGGAAATACCTGAAATGGTATCGATAATTCATGTTATCTTTCAAAACTTCGAGATATAACTATATTTGGTATTTCTTAATGCGGAGATAAGGTTATATGAAGTTAGAATTAAATTTACTCACTGCAAACATATGGTGCATTACTGTCACTTACAATAAACAATACTGGTCTCTAATCAAATGGACATCTTATTTAAATCGGAGTTCATCAGTGTTGTACTTTGCTGTAGTTAAATACACCAATTCTCTAATTATTTACATTTTAGTTTCTATATTTGGGTCAGGTAGAGTGATCAGTGAAAAGTAAAATGTTCACGAAAGTTTCTCTTTGACTTGGGAATGGTAGTAGCATATGATATCTATGTAAAAATGTCCATCGTAATTCCACTTGAGAACCGAAATGTTCACTGTGGCGCGACAAATTATTTGCATCAATTCACCATTGATGAATTCAACTACAAAACATTAATACACCTGATCATGTTTTGATTTATCTGTGATCTTATTCTTGAAATTATTAATGACTTTAATAATTGGCACGACCTGAACATTTTCTTTCTTTATAATAAAAATGTTATTTCCTTAACAACCAAAGAAATTTCAAACAAAATCTTTATAATTACACTTTACTTATGTTCAAACTGTTCTAAGAATTAATCCATAAGTAGTCGAAATCATTTGATAAGAAACTGATCAATTGCAGTCCTAAACATCAATAAGAAATTTCAAACAAACGATACAAAATGAATTTACACTTCACCCCATTGTAGAAGCAAGTAGCTATCAGGAATCAGTAGCTAAGTGGGTAACGCGATGGTGTTTGAAGATAACGGTACTGGGTTTGAGTCCCGGAGTGAACGCCAACTCGGGTTCAGGTACATCCCGCTGACGAGTCTCTAATAGGACAAGACGCGCGTCCTGGATTCCACTGCTAGCTACCATACATCTTTGCTTATAATACTTCTCGATTATGTGTAGACTGTGTGACTTCTCAGTTAGGAATTAATCAGTGAGTTTTGTTTCCTATCCTATTTGAGAAGCAACGGTAAAAAAGGTTAAAGTAGTTAATAATCGTCCAATAATTCAGTATTACCACATCAATGAGCTGAATTCGAGATGAATTTTCTATGAACAGTTTTTGTCTATTTTAACAAGACTTTTAAAGAACTCACTTGTGGAAAACACTACGCTTACAGCATAAAAATTGATTGTCAACATGTCCATGATTTAAAACAATCATGCGGTAATTTAATTTTTGGCATTTAGTTAGAAGCAATATGGAAGAAAATTTATATAAATAAAAATGATAACTGGATTTTAAATTGAATAAATATAGTTTAATCAATAGCAACCTCAAGTAATTTCTTTCAAGTAGTTCACTTTATGAATAAAATAGGGACAATAATTGTTCTAATTATTCTCTCTCTATTCAACCTTAAATAATATTGTAAGTGTTACTTTTTATTTAAAGGATGTTTTGTTGCTGTGTCTGCTGGAAAGTTATGTAGAAAATATACTCAATTTCGTATCCAGTGATCTATTATTTCAGCTCAACCCACGAATTCTGCTTTGTAAATCCTTAGTGATGGAATCGTTCAACTTAAGAAGAAAAATAGATAAACGTCAGCGTTATACATTAAATAGAGTTATAGAAACTTCAGTTCCCATAAAATTCCAATCATCAGTGCATTTTTTGTTAAGCAGATGTATATACTCATAAAAAACGTGTAAAGATTAGTTAATTATTAAATGATCCACTTAATACAAAATCATTTATTCGTTGATCTTTATCTCCAAATTAAGGTTTTTGAACATGTACCTAAATGGTCGTAAAGGCAAATAAAACCAAAATGACTTAGTAAGAGTAGAGGATAAACACCCATCATCCTTTATTTCCCAATATATATTTGAAACAGGTCATAAGATTGGTCTTAACACAGCCTTTGTGGTGTAGTACAAAAGTGTTAAACGTTGCGTACTAAAGCTTATTGAAGCCTTGGTCATAAAAAAATTCACCACCCCCTCTATGTATTCTAAGACAGTTTATTCTCACCTTAGACTTACCCTGGTAATATTAGTTTATTATCCAGCGTGGTGAGTTGCACATCGTTTTTTACATTACTTTCTTCATTATCTTTATTTCCTCTTACCCTCCATTTATCTAGTTAACCTTTTCTTTTTATAATATAGATGTTCTCAACAAGTGTATGTATGATCAGATTGTTCGAAAGGTATTACGTTAATATATCTCACAATTCTGATAATCTTCGTCTTTATATTACACTGTCTAAATTTATCAAAGGGACTAATTGCTATAAGCTAGTGTTATTGATAATATCAATGTTGCTAACATTTATATATATAAAGTGTGGATTAGTCAAATAATGAAACGGTTTCTATAGTATCCCTT